GATCCAGCTCTCTGCTATGGCCTGGGAAAACAGTAGAAGATGGCCCAAGTCTTTGGGCCCCTGTGCCCATGTGGGAGACCTGGAGGAAGCTCCTGGCTGCTGGCTTCGGATCAACGCAGCTCCGGCCGTTGTGGCCATCTGGGCAGTGAACCAGCAGATGGAAGACCTCTCTCTCTGTAACTCTGTCTTTCAAATAAATAAAGTAAATATTAAAAAAAAAAAAAAAGTGTTTGGAATCTTGCCACCAAAATGGGAGACCGAGATGAAACTCCTGGCAGCTGGGGCCATCTGAGGAGTGAACCAGCATATGGACGCATACACTCTGATTTTCAAATAAATATATCTATTTAAAAAAAAAAAAAAAGATTATTTATTTGAGAGGTAGAGCTACAGAGAGGGAGAGGGAAAGACAGAGAAAGGCCTTCTGGGGCCGGTACTATGGTCTGGGAAAGATCTAGCTCTCTGCTGTGGCCTGGAATAGCAGCAGAAGGCCCAAGTTCCTGGGCTCCTGCACCCACGTGGGAGACCAGTAAGAAGCTCCTGGCTCCTGGCTTCGGATCTGCACAACTCCGGCCATTGTGGCCAACTGAAGAGTGAACCAGTGGAAAGAAGACCTCTCTCTCTCTCTCTGCCACACCTTCTCTCTCTGTGTAACTCTTCCAAGAAAGGCCTTCCTTCCATTGGCTCACTCCTCAAATGGCTGCAATGGCCAGAGCTGCGCTGATCGGAAGCCAGGAGCCAGAAGCTTCTTCCAGGTTCTCCATGGGGGTGCAGGGGTTCAAGCATTTGGGCCATCTTCTACTGCCTTCCCAGGCCATAAAGAGCTGGACTGGAAGAGGAGCAGCAGGGACTAGAACCGGTGCCCATATGGGATGCCATCGCTGCAGGCAGAGGATTAACCTACTGCGCCACAGCGCCGGCCCCAATAAATATATCTTTAAAAAACAGAATCAAACAGTACATCTATATCCTCGTATATGCTATTATGCAATAAACACTTTTTGGAGATTAAAATATTAATAACCCAAGTATTTAAAAGATTTTGGTCTTGAAAGAATAAGACATCAGAGAGCTTTATGGAGGAGTAGAGATAGAAAAATAAAGTGAAGGAATTGACAGGAGTGCAGAGAGGTTGTAATTGGCCTTACCAGAGAAGATGTACACTGGGGAATAGGGGAAAAGATTACCAAGAAGAAATGGCTAGATAAAAGAAAGTTAGAGGCTACTGACGGGCTCACCAGGGAATTAAAGGGAATGGTGGCTACTGAAGTGTTCTCATGAGGAATGGTCACAGTTGGTTTTCTTGGGAAAAACAGCTTAGTAGCCTTATGTGGTGTGGCTTAAGGGGGTGTCAAGAAGGTTGTGGCTATAATCCAGATAAGTCAACTAGCAAGCAATAGATGAGGGCAGATAACATAGTAGAAACAGAGAGGGGCACACCAAAGGAAAAAAATTTTATTAATAACAAAGTATGAAAAAGTAAAGCAATCAGGCAGCCATAGAAGTTTCAATTCCAGGTGATTAGGTGCGTGTTATTTCCACTGACAGACTGGGACCATGGAAAACAGACTCAGGTAAAAGACAATAGGCTGAAATTTGAGGAGACAAAAAGAACTATAATAGTAACTATCCATGGCCAGCGCCGTGGCTCACTAGGCTAATCCTCTGCCTTGCGGCGACGGCACACCGGGTTCTAGTCCCGGTCGGGGCGCCGGATTCTGTCCCGGTTGCCCCTCTTCCAGGCCAGCTCTCTGCTATGGCCCGGGAGTGCAGTGGAGGATGGCCCAAGTGCTTGGGGCCCTGCACCCACATGGGAGACCAGGAGAAACACCTGGCTCCTGCCTTCGGATCAGCGCGATGCGCTGGCCACGACGGCCACTGGAGGGTGAACCAACGGCAAAAGGAAGACCTTTCTCTCTCTCTCTCTCACTGTCCACTCTGCCTGTCAAAAATTAAAAAAAATAAAAAAATAATAAAAAAATAGTAACTATCCATATAGCTTACCAGGTAGCAGGCTTTTTTTTTTTAGATGTTTTGCATGTATTAATTCATTATTCCTCCATATAACCTTAATGAAGTAGGTAACTATTATTCTCACTTAACAAAATGAGAGGATACTAAGAGAGGTTAAGTAACTTGCTAGGAGTTAACTACTTGGCCAAAATTGCTTCTCTATGACATGTAAGAATATTTAGAAGGCAAAAGAAATCTAATGATGGACACAGTTACAAAGAAGATTAACACAATTATAGTTATATATTAACATAATGCATGTCACAATGGCTCTGCAGAAAAAAAATCTCATAACCTGATATTTTTAACAATCCAAATTTTTAACAATTTAAAAAGTTTTTTTAAAAGTCTTTGTAATCTAAACAAAACATCTAAGAAATAAAAAGGGGGCTGGCAACATGGCATAGCACGTAAAGCTACAGCCTGTGAAACTGGCATCCCATATGGGTACTGTTTGAGTCCCAGCTGCTCCACTTCTGATCCAGCTCTGTGAAAATGACCCTGGGAAAGCAGCAAAGATGGCCCAAGTGTTTGGGCCCCTGCCGCCAACATGGAAGGCTTAGATAAAGCTTCTGTCTCCTGGCTTCAGTCTGACCCAGCACTGGCCATTAAAGCCATCTGGAGAGTGAACCAGTGGATAGACCGCTCTCTGTCTTTCCCCCTCTCTCTAACTCTGACTTTCAAAATATAAATGAAATAAGGGGCTGCTGCTGTGGAGTAATAGGTAAAGTTGCCGCCTGCAGTGCCAGCATCGCTATGAGCTCTGGTTCGAGGTTTGGATGCTCCACTTGCAATCCAGCTCTGTGATGCATCTCTCCGCTATGGCATGAGAAAGCAATGGAAGATGGCCCAAACCCTTGGGCCCCTGCACCCATGTCAGAGACCCAGAAGAAGCTCCTGGCTTCGTATCAGCTCAGCTTCAGCAGCTGTAGTCATCTGGGGAGTGAACCGGCAGATAGAGGATCGGCTGATCGATCTCTCCCCCTCCCCACCGCCTCCCCGCCTCTCCGTGCTCTGCCTTTAAAATAAATAAATAAGCCTAATTTAAAAAAAGAAAAAGATACAAGAGTACTTCAGAAAGCTTGTGGAAAAATGGAATGAAATTATGTTTATTGGGGTCAAGGCTGTGGTACAGGGGGTTAAAGCCCTGGCCTGCAGTGCCGGCATCCCATTTGAGTGCTGGTTCCAACCCTGGGTGCTTCACTTCCAATCCAGCTCTCTGCTCTGGCCCGGGAAAGCACTAAAAGATGATGGCCCAGGTCTTTGGGCCCCTGCACCCAGGTGGGAGACCCAGAAGAAGCTCCTGGCTTCTGGCTTCAGATCAGCTCAGCTCCAACCACTGTAGCCACTTGGGGAGGGAATCAGTAGATGAAAGACCCCTCTCTCTCTGTCTCTACCTCTCTCTGTAACTCTTTCAAATAAATAAAACAAATCTTTAAAAAAAAAGATGTTTATTAAAAAATAATAAAAATGAAAAAATACACAATTAAGTCTTAAAAAAAAGAATGAGAATTAAGATGAAAAGAAAACATTATAAAATTAAAATCTTTTAACAGCATAAACCCCAAACACTACAATTTAAATGATCGCTTTCTATCATTATCTCAACATGTTACATAATTATGAGACATATCTCTTATTTCAAAGACAGAGTTACACAAAGAGGGAAAGGAGACAGAAAGAGAGGTCTTCCATTCGCTGGTTCACTCTCTCAGTGGCCGCAACAGCTAGAGCTGAGCTGATCCAAAGCCAGGAGCCAGGTGCTTCTTTTGGGTTTCCCACGTGGGTGCAGGGGCCCAAGGACATGGGACATCTTCTGTTGCTTTCCCAGGCCATCAGCAGGGAGCTGGATTGGAAGTGGAGCAGCCAGGACTCACGCTGGCGCCCGTATCAGATGCGGGCACTGCATACAGGGGTTTTAACCCACTGCGCAACAGCACCGGCCCCTATCAGACATATCTTAATCTTCTGCATACTTCTTAAGATAAGCCTTACATTTCAAAAACTCAGGGAAACAGTTTTTGAACACAGTATCAAAATAAGTTTCCCTGGGGCCAGCGCTGTGGCATAGCAGGTTAAGCCACTTTCTGCAGGGCCAGCATTGCAATTGGGCACCAGTTTGAGTCCTGGCTGTTGTTCCACTCCCTGCGATGCACCTGGGAAAGCAGCAGAGGATGGCCCAAGTACTTGGTCCCTGCACTGACATAGGAGACCTGGAGGGAGTTCTTGGCTCCTGGCTTCAGCCTGGTCCAGCCCCAGCGCTGTGGCTATTTGGGGAGTGAACCAGCAGATGGAAGATTTTCTATCTCTCCTCTCTGTGTAACTCTGACTTTGAAATAAAGTAAACAAATAAAATACACAAATAGTTGTTTTAAAAGTTTCCCTAAGAAGTGTTTAAATGCTACTACTCTACAGAAGAACAAACTTCTCTAAAATAGAAGGTCTTGCTTTCTCTTGTTTACCACACAAATTAAAACACAGCTAGATGGCATAATCACATTATGTATAGTTACACAGTCTGTAAGAATAGAAACCAGGCATTATTTAGGGCTGGGACTGAAACACAGCAGATTAAGCCACTGGCTGCACTGCTGGCATCTCATATAAGCACCAGTTTGAGTCCTGGCTGCTGGACTTCTGATCCAGCTCCCTGATAATGTGCCTGGAAAGGCAGCAGATAATGGCCAGAGTACCTGGGCCCCTTCCACCCACACAGAAGACCTGCATGGAGTGCTAGGCTCCTGCATTCAACCCAGCCCTGTCCCAGCCCAGCCATTATTACCAGGTGGAGAGTGAACAAGCAGATGGAAGAATAACTAATCTCTCTGCCACCCCCCATTTCCTCCCCACCTCGCCCCAAAGTAAATCTGCCTTGCAAATAAATGAATCTTTTAAAAAATTAAATGTTATTTTTTAAAAGGGTAATACTGATATGACAAAAATCTCTCTACATCCCAATAATTTTAAATCAAACAACATTTACTTACGTTCTGATACTGTATAAAGGAGGTTCTGGGGTAAAGGAGGAGGTAGTCTTGCTCCTACTGGTGCAAGATTGGGCACTGCGCTTGTCCCAGGCTGATCACGGCTGTTTATTAAGCTTGACTGTGTTATGGGTGGTCCTACAAATAACAAAAAGTGAAATATAGAGGACTGACATTTCCTAATAAAAATATTCAATGTGGAGACAGCATTGCGGTATGGCAGGTTAAGCCACCACCTGTGATGCCAGCATCCCATATGGGCACTGGTTCGTGTCCTGACTGTTCCACTTCAAATCCAGCCAGCTCCTTGCTAACATGCCTGGGAAAGCAGCAGATGGCCCAAATGCTTGAGTCCTTGCCACCCATGTGGGAGACATATAGAGCTCCTGGCTTTGGCCTGGCCCAACCCTGGCGGTTTCAGCCATCTGGGCAGTGAACTAGCATATGGAAGATCGATCTCTCTCTCTCTCTCTCTCTCTCTCTCTGCCTCTCTCTCCCTCTCTGTAACTATGCTTTTCAAATAAATAAATAAATCTTTAAAAAAAATTCAATGTACTAATACTCATCTTGGCATTCATACTTAGAATACTTTGGCTTTGAACAGAATTGAGGAATTTAACAGAAGCTGGTTTGTTTAAATTGTTTAATTCATTGATTAATGACTCTTAATTTTAGAACAAGTACAACTAATCCAGGATGCAAACAAACAAAACTGGTTGCCTCTGCAGGTAGAGGATGAGAATGACTAGGAAGGGATTAAAGGAAAGTTTCCAAGGTGATAAAGTTCTACAGAATTCTGCAACATACAATGAAATGCATCAGAAATAAAAACGAGAAAGAAAGACACATGTCAATGAAAATATGATAAAAATAATGAAATACTAGTTGTTTAACTTAGATGGTATACGGTATATAGGTATAATTCTTTCACGTTTTCTGTTGAATTTAAATTTTTCAAAGCAAACCACTGGGTAATATGATATGCTTTGACTTAATTTTTAAACAGGTATGTTCTCACAGTGAGATAATAGCTTCTACTGTTAGCATTTCTATATATATCAAGAAGCTTCTTGGGACAGGAGTACACCAGTGTTAAGATACTACTACCCAGGGCCAGCATTGTGGTGCAGCTGGTTAAGCCACTGCCTGTGACACTGGAATCCCATACAGGGCTGGTTCAGTCTACTGCTCCACTTATGATCCAGCTCTCTGCTAATATGCCTTAAAAAGCAGTGGAAGATGGCTCCAGTGCTTGAGAGACCTAGATGAAGCTCATGACTTCGCTCTGGCCCTGCTGTTGCAGCCATCTGTGGAATGAATCAGCAGATGAAGAACTATGCCCTTCCCTCTCTCTAACTATGAATTTCAAATAAACAAATCTTAAAAAAAAAAAAAAAAGGCTTTTATCAATTAAAGGGCTGTCTTTGAGTCCTGGTAACAGATTCCTGTTAATGTGCAACCTAGACGCAGCAGGTGATGTCTCAAGCACCTGGATCCCTTCCATCCACAAGGGAGACCTAGACTGAGTTTCAGACACCTGGCTTTGACTCAGCCCAGCCCAAATCACCAGATGGAATATTTCTCTCTGTCACTGTGCCTCTCATTTTTTTTCTAAGATTTTTTTTTTTTTTTAAGATTTGTTTACTTATTTGAGAGGCAGAGTTACAAACAGAAAGGAGAGACACAGAGAGAGGACTTCCATCCACTGGTTCACTCTCTAATGGCTGCAATGGTCAGAACTGGGATGATCTGAAACCAGGAGCCAGGAGCTAATTCCAGGTCTCCCACACAGGCACAGGGGCCCAAGCACTTGGGCCATCTTCTACTGCTTTCCCAGGCCATTGGCAGGGAGTGGGATTGGAAGTGGAAGATCCAGGACTTGAACTGGCACCCTCTGCTAATGAGAAAAGCAGAGGAAAATGGTCTACCTGCTTGGGCCCCTGCCACCTACATAGGTGACCTGGCTTCAGCCTAGCTCAGCCCTGGCTGTTGCAGCTACTTGGGGAGTGAAAAAGCAGATGAAGATCTGTGTCTGTCTCTCCCTACAACTCTGACTTTCAAATAAATAAATATATAAACCTTAAATATATTTCACTCTTGGGTTCAGTGTTGTGGCACTGGGGTGAAACTGCCACTTGTAAGACTGACATTCCATATTGGAGTGCCAGTTTGGAGTCTTGGCTACTCCACTTCCAATTCAGTTCCTTGCTAATGTGCCTAGGAAGACAGAAAACAGTCCAGGTACTTGGGCCCAGGACACGCATGTAACCTACAATGGAGTTCCTGGCTCCTAAATTCAGTCTGGACCAGCCCTGGCTATTGCAGGAATCTGCAGTGAACCAGTAGACAGAAGATTTCTTTATCCCACTCTCTGCCTTTCAAATAAATAAATCTTTTTTTAAAAAATTTCCTCATATGTTTTCCCTGATTTGTGTTAACTAATATATAGGGCACAAAAAATTTCTAATGTGTAAGTGAAAATGACATTTTGAGATTTGATTATTATTTACAGCCTACATTACAAGCATTACTACTTGTTGAATCCTTTATTTAGTGGAGATTTAAGCTTGTGATCACAAAGTAAACTGAAAGTATATCACTACAAAATTTAAAGAAAATTAAGAAAAGAAGGGTGGGAAGTATCATTATATTCTTAAAACGATATATGAAATTTGTTCCTTTTATATAAATGCATCTGGGAAAGCAGCAGATTGCCCAAGCACTTGACCCTTGCCACCCATGTTGGAGACCTGGATGGAGTTTGAGGCTTCTGACTTCAGCTTGGTCCAGCCCTGGCCGTTGTGGAGTGAACCAGCAGATGGACAACCTCCCCCAACCCCCTCTCTCTGTCATTCCTTTCTCTCCCTCTATTCTCTGCCTGTCAAATAAATAAAATAAATCTAAACAAAACAAATATCCTTGTCAGTGAAGAGATCCATTATGAATATACTGGTGAAATAATAAGAAATTCAGGGGGCCAGAGCTGTGGCATAGTGGGTAAAGATGCCACCTGCGGTACCAGCATCCCATATGAACACCGGTTCGAGTCCTGGCTATTCCTCTTCTAATCCAGCTCTCTGCTATGGCCTGGGAAAGCAGTGGAGGATGGCTCAAGTCTTTGGGCCCCTGCACCCATGTAGAACAACTGGAAGAACTTCACAGCTCCTGACTTTTAATCAGCGCACTCCAGCCGTTGCAGCCATCTGGGGAGTGAACCAATGGATGGAAGACCCCTTTTTCCTCTCTCTATCTCTCTCTCTCTCTCTCTCTCTCTCTGCCTCTCCTTCACTTTGTGTAACTCTGACTTTCAAATAAATAAATATTTTTTATTTTTTTTTATTTTTATTTTTTTGACAGGCCGAGTGGACAGTGAGAGAGAGAGACAGAGAGAAAGGTCTTCCTTTTGCCGTTGGTTCACCCTCCAATGGCTGCCGCGGCTGGCGCATCGCGCTGATCCGAAGCCAGCAGACAGGTGCTTCTCCTGGTCTCCCATGTGGGTGCAGGGCCCCAAGCACTTGGGCCATCCTCCACTGCACTCCCGGGCCACAGCAGAGAGCTGGCCTGGAAAAGGGCAACTGGGACAGAATCCGGCGCCCCGACCGGAACTAGAACCTGGTGTGCCGGCGCTGCAAGGTGGAGGATTAGCCTATTGAGCCACGGCGCCGGCGATATTTTTTAAAAATGTGAAATTCAGAATTTACTCCAGCAAAAACAAGAAAACATAAAAGAAGTGTGTATATGATGTGGCAGGAGAGGGATGAATGACAAAAACAACTGAATACTGATAACCACTAAGTCTGGACACAATACACATTATTTTGTGAATGAATAAAAGTTACCATAATAAAAAATTTCTTCATATGTTAATATTCTTGAAGATATTTTCTTAACACACTAAAAATCTCATTAAAATATTGGCAAGTTCTCTAACATCTAGCAAATAACAGGATTTTGACTATTGATCAAGATAGGCTACGCCACAACATAAAAAATTTATACTATTGGTATTATAATACCACGCTACAACAGATGAAAAAAAGCAAAGAATCACATCTTAATTATGAAACTATAATCCAAGTTCTATTATTAATTTATGTTTCAAATACTTTAAATGGAATGTCAAATTCAAAGAGACTCTTCTAAGTAGAATTTTCCACTAGAGAAAGATTTAAGCAAAATATACTTACTTGGTATGGGAAGCACAACGGAAGGAGGAGGCTGGCCATGTCCTTGTGGAACAGGAAGTCTCATACTATGGCCAGGACCTGGACCTGGGCCTGGGCCTGGGCCTGGACCTGGACCTGGACCTGGGCCTGGCATTGGAGGCATTAGCATTCCAGGAGGTGGTGGAGGAGGAAGCCCAGGAGGAGGAGGTGGGAAAGGAATCATACTTGGCAGAGCAACTTCATCAACAACCAGAGGATCATTTCCATGATCGAACTGACAAAGGTCACCAAGAACACAAAATCCTCTCTCTGTAAGAATAAAATAAGCATCTTGTAATCTATTTAGAATTCAGAAGACAAACAGAATGAGTCCTTGAAAAATCTACCAATGTGATTTACAAAGGGGTTTTCTCCAAGGAGATTACATACAGCCCTCTTGGTGTTATTCTATAAATCATGATATAACCCTGAGGAAGAGTTAAGTATCTATTTTATATAATATGAAACTATAATTTTTGAAATAACAAGTAACAGGTTCAGGAACCTTTTTACCTACTATTAACTATTTGATATTAAGTTTCATAATAGAAACTGAAGCTTTATTGTATGAGAGCCATAAACTAGATGATTTAAATTTAATCATCCATTCTTATATTATGCTAAAGCAATCATTCTTGCTCTATATGGAAGTTGAAATTTCAGTTTGAAATATTCAAGTGGGCATCATATAATATGTTACTTACTGCAGGACTATTTACAACAGAAAAATATTACAAACATCCTAAACCTGTATCAATATGCATTTTTATAAGAATACAATACAAAGAAGCCTTAAAAAAAACATTGAGGCTCTCTTTATGTATAAAAATAGGATGACTGCTAGAAAATGCAGCTAAGTGAAAAAACATCATGTAGAATTGTGACTAGTACACTTATCCTTTTTTTTTTTTTTTTTTTTTTTAAGATTTATTTACTTGAAAGCCAGAGTTGCACAGAGAGAGGAAGAGACAGAGAGAGGCAGACACTCCATTTGCTGGTTCACCCCCCAGGTGGCTTCAACAGTCAACACGGGGCCAGGCTGAAGCTAGGATCTCAGAGCTTCTTCCAGGTCTCCCATGCAGGTGCAGGGGACCAAGCACTTGGTCCATCTCCACTGCATTCCCAGGCACATCGACAGAGAACTGGATCGGAAGTGGAATAGGTGGATCTTGAAAGAGCATCCACATGGGATGCTGAATTCACAGGTGGCAGCTTTACCCACTATGCCACTATGCCGGCCCCAGTACACTACCATTTATGTGAAAAAGAAACTGGGGGAGAATATGTATGTGTGTGTGTGTGTGTGTGTATATATATATGTGTATGTGTGTGTGTGTGTGTGTGTATATATATGCCTACTCTATCTTTGGAAAGATAAAGAAATTGCTAACATTAAAGCTGGCTTTGGGAAGTTGAATGGCAGAACCCTAGCTGTATATATACAACATACATACATTTTATATTTATAGAAAGTAACATTATGGGGGTGAGACTGTGGCACAGTGGGTTAACACCCCAGCCTGTGGTGCTGGCAGCACATACGGGTGCCGGTTTGAGTCTGAGCTGTTACACTTCTGATCTAGCTCTCTGCTATGGCTTGGGAAAACAGCAGAAAATGGCCCACATCCTCCAGCCCCTGCACCCATGTGGGAGACCCAGAAAAAGCTCCTGGCTCCTGGCTTCAGATTGGCCAACTCTGGCCATTGAAGCTATCTGGGGAGTGAACCAATGGATGGAAGACCTCTCTCTCTGTGTCTCTCCCTTTCTCTGTTTCTCTGTAACTCTTTCAAATAAATAAAATAAATCTTTTTTTTTTATTTAAAGTATTATGAGGTCTGCAATTTGCCTGAAATAATGCAGACCGGCACTGAGGCGCAGTGGGTTAACACCCTGGCCTGAAGCGCCGGCATCCCACATGGGTGCCAGTTTGAGTCCCAGATGCTCCACCTCCATCCCAGCTCTCTGCTATGACCTGGGAAAGCAGTAGAAGACGGCCCAAGTCCTTGGGCCCCTGCACCCGCGTGAGAGACCCAGAGGAAACTCCTGGCTGCTGGCTTCGGGTCGGCGCAACTCCGGCTGTTGCAGCCATCTGGGGAGTGAACCACCAGATGGAAGACACCTCTCTCTCTCTCTCTCTCTGCCTCTCCTCTCTCTGTGTAACTCTTTAAAATAAATAAATAAATCTTTAAAAAAAAGAAAGAAAGAAATAATGCAGGCCAAGAAGTGGGTAGGAGTATAGATTAAAAACAAAATTGTCCACAAGTTGGTAACTGTTGAAATGAAGTAATGTGTACCCTGAGGTTTATGTTATTCGTCAATTTTCATAAACATTTAAATATACCATAATAAAAATCTAAATACATACATACTCAGTCATTTATTCAAACTGAAAATCAGTAAGTCAAACTACTAAGTAGGTTACACACCTTAACCAAGTTCCAAGTACCAAACACTACAAAAGAAATTAAAATTGGGGCCACAGCTGTGGCATAGCAGGTAAAGCAGCAATCTGCAGTGCCGGCATCCCACATGGGTGCCAGTTTGAGTTCTGGCTGCTCTACTTCCAATCCAGCTCTCTGCTACAAGTCCTTGGGCCCTACACCTATGCAAGAGACTCAGAAGAAGCTCCTGGCTCTTGGCTTCAGATCAACCTAACTCCAGCCATTGCAGCCATTTGGGGAATGAATCAGCGGGTTGAAGTTCTTTCTCTATTCTCTCGTTCTCTTTGTCTGTAACTCTTTCAAATAAATAAATAATAAAATTTTAAAAAGAAAAAGGTCCCCTGCAACATGAGCACTTCATATGAGCACCAGTTTGTGTCCTGACTGCTCCACTTTCGAACCAACACCCTACTAATGGCCTGGGAAAAGCAGAGCCCCTGACAGCCACATGGAAGATCTGGATGAAGCTCACAGCTCCTGGCGTCAGCCTGGCCCAGCACTGGCCATTGCAGCCATCTGGGCAGTGAACCATAATATTTTTTTTTTAAAGTACACAATACATGCAACATTTGCTTCACTAGTAGTTTAGGATACAATATAAGAGAAGGTGATGATTTTTACCATCATAATCTCTGCATCGCCTCTTTGGTGGTGGGTTTCGACCAAAAGAATTGGAAGAGCTATGATTGTTATAGTAATTAGACCAACTCTCAGTTGTATTTTCAGAGTGGTGAGCAGGTGCGATCACAGTAACAGTGCTGGGAATAGACTGGGCCCCAGAGGAATACTGTTCAGAAGAGTTAGGAGGTGGTGCAGACACAGGCACATAGGAACTCTCCAGGTCATTCCTTTCACTCTTAAACTTCGATCTTTCCCTGTGCTCTGCTTTGGAGACAAAATAAAAACAAGAACAAAGAAATCACACATTTATGTTCTTACTCTTATTTTCTCACAGAATAGGATAGATGAAAATACTTAAGTAAACTTATTATCTATATTTTAAACTGCTCTCATTATTAATATATCCTAAAAGAAGGAACATCCACAATGTGGCAGTAACATGAAAAATAAACTTTTATAATATCAACATCAATTATACTTAATGAAAAAAGGGTCACAGCCTTCATGGCTTTTTATAATAATAATGTTTTCCAAGAACTGACTTTCAAACTGATATCTCAGAAGATCAACGGTTGGGATCCCAGTAACTTGTATCTTTTTAATTGGGAAACTTTAGGCAACTTTACAGCACATCAATTATTCAAAAAAAGCAAAAGCAAACAACCCCCCTCTTCATTTGATAGCTTTGTTCATTAAGGGACATTTGTATCATTTATACAAAATGACTTAAGTCTAGACATATACTATGATACTTATAAATAATTTCTTTTACGCAAACTCCCTTGACTTCATCCCAAGAATAGAGCCCTACCTTTATAACAAAATCAATATTGTTTCTTGAGACAATTTCAGTTTTTATATTGATTGAATATTAAAGGTACAATTTCTGTTAAGGAATTCATTATACATTTCGTGATACAGGAAGAAAGCAACTAGTGTTTTTATTGGAACACCTCATCTACTCACCAACATTCCTATTTGGATCCCGGTCTTTGCTGCGCCCCCTACTTCGGCTTCTGCTACGACTCAGGCCTCGGCTCTTACTCCGGCTCTTACTCCTGCCTCTTCTCCAGTCATACTTGTCACGATACAATTCATTCCGCTCATAGTACCGGTCATAGTCCCTCCACTTGCCATCTTCTCTTTTTTTCTCTCGTGTCCTGTAATACACAGATATAAAAGCCATATATAGGCTATACAAAGTAGTTCTGCAAACAAATGTAGAGTATAAAATACTCTCCTTGAGTGATCAAAATTCATAACGTCTCTGATATTTTAGAAAATTGCAAGATTTAAGACTACCACATAATCCCTCTAACCCAGTATATAAAAAGGAAAAAACGCATTCTCACTTCTACTAAACTGGGTGGGGAGAAAAGAAAAAGAGGTGAATCCAAAGTAGCAGAGGGGAGCAGAAAAACAGAAATTGAAAACTGGAAAATAAAAAAGGCTCAAAACAAAGTCTTCCTAAACAAAAACCAATTTTTTGATGGCCCATCAGTATTTCAACGTAATAACAACAATACTTATAGTATAAAATGAAGTGGATAATTTTAATATTGAACACCCCTAACCAAATGGAACATTTCAATGATATTCTCTAAGGGAACCGTTCCCACCCCTGAGCTCTTGGGGAAAGCACATAATGATGTTTATAAAAGGAATAGAAAGTAAGATAAAGACAAAAAACAGAATGGAAGGAAGCACGATAACACTCTTTCTTTAATGAGTTGAGAGATGAGTCAGAGAACATGTTACAATTCCTGTAATGACCTCACAAGCCAACTGAAAAGTGAGTTATCAATGTCTTCCTAACTAAAGATAAACACAAACCTTCGTTCACTAGATTCAGAACGGGTCTTCTGGGGACTAGGATATTTCTTTTTTCTGCCATCTCGTTCTTCCTCTACTGGCTCCTGAAATACCTATTAGGAAACATTTATTAGAAATACAAATAGTCCTGTAGATTGTAAAACACATCCACCTGATAATCTTTTGGGCACAAGAGAAGGTAGAAATATATACACTGAAATAATGAAGTCAAATCACATCCAAAAAAGTTAGGCAACAAGAGAATTTATAAAAATGCTCAGATTGGGGCCAGCATTGTGGTATAGGGGTTAAGATACTTTGACACCAGCATCCCATATGGTTGCTGGTTCAATCCCCAGCTGCTCCACTTCCAATACAGCTCCCTGATAACACACCAGGGAAAGTAGTGGAAGATAGTTCAAGTGCTTGAACCCCTGCATCGACATGGGAAACCTGGATGAAGCTCCTGGCTCCTGCCTTTGGCTTGGCCCACTCCTGGCTGTTTTGGCCATTCGAGGAATAAACCAATAGATGGAAGATCTCTCTGCTTCTCCTTCTCTCCCTATAACTCTGCCTTTCAAATAAATATCTTTTTTCAAAAAAATGCTCAGTGGGGCCAGAGCTGTGGCATAGTAGGCTATGTCTCTGCCTGCAGTGCTGGCATCCCATATGGGTTCCAGTTCACGTCCCAGGTGCCCCTCTTGCAATCCAGCTCTGTGCTATGGCCTGGGAAAGAAGTAGAAGATGGCCTGAGTACTTCAGCCCCTAGATCTGAGTGGGAGACCTGGAGGAAGTTCCTGGCTCCTGATTATCTGAACTCCAGCCATTGTGGCCAGCTGGGGACTGAAGCAGCACATGGAAGACCTTTATGTCTTTCCCTCTCTTTCTATAATTCCACCTCTCAAATAAATAAATAATCTTTTCAAAAAAATGCTCAGATTATTTTAACAAGCAATATGTTAATTTTTCAAATGTCAATTTATGGCAGAGAATGGAATATAGAAAAGCAAGCAATTCATTCGTTAAACAGTAATAACAGAAATAGCAAGTCACTATCACAGTAAAATGGTTTACATCTTCATTATAATTTCATAGTGACTTTATTAGTCTTCTAACAACTCTACCTTAAATCAGATACACAGAGAAAGATAAAATTAAGTCACTGGCAGGAACTAAACAAATGCCTATGTAACAAAGAATCTGACTTATAAAACTGGATATGAGTGAACAGACTAGAAAACAGTTTAATAAAATAGAAGCAACATAAATGCCAGCCACAATATTAACAACATACAGTTTCAGCGAAAAACACTACACAATCATCCAATTATACTTAAAAAAAAGTATTCTCTCAGGGTCCAGCGCTGCTGTGGCACAGAGGTTTTCAGTCACTACCTACAATGCTGGCATCCCATATGAGCGCCTGCTTTGATTCCCAGCAGCTACACTTCCAATCCACCACCATGCCACCTATGTGGATGAGTGCTAGGCTCCTGGCTTCAGACTGGCCTAGCCCCAGCCACCACAGCCATTTGGAAAATGAACCTGTGAATATAAGATCTTTCCTTCTCTGTATCTCTGCCTTTCAAATAAATAAAAAATCTCTGAAAAAAATTTGTTTCTTAAAAAAAATTAATTCTCTTTACCAATTTCCAAGAAACACAGAGGATATATTACTCTACTGAAATGAAATAAGCAAAATCAAAACGTAAAATACTATTCGGGACAAATTACTTCAGTAAAAAGAAGTGGTAACATAAAGGAACAAGCACAGCACTTCATAGATCATGGCACATTATCTAACAAGTTGCTTTTCTAGTACCAGGATGAGATCTGCCAACAATCCAAATTCTCTCACCTGGTGCTCTTGTGACCAACAGTCTAAGTCTAAAACAACTGGTGGCACAACGGAGCTGAGGACCAAGGAAGATGGTTAGTCCTGAGATACACTTCCTCCTCCATACCCTGCCCACAGCAACTGTATCAACTGAGCACACACCAAAAAAAGACAACTAGCCAAAAGTATGTGCCACTCAAGCCTCCTCCTTCTACATTATCTAACAGAACTATGATAACTACTATGGTTACATACTATTATATGAACTTTACTTATGTCAGTAATTACAATTAAATTATATCTATAATCTTAGAAAATGGTAAATTCAGGCCGGCACCGCGGCTCACTAGGCTAATCCTCCGCCTTGTGGCGACAGCACACCGGGTTCTAGTCCCGGTCGGGGCGCCGGATTCTGTCCCGGTTGCCCCTCTTCCAGGCCAGCTCTCTGCTGTGGCCAGGGAGTGCAGTGGAGGATGGCCCAAGTGCTTGGGCCCTGCACCCCATGGGAGACCAGGAGAAGTACCTGGCTCCTGCCTTCGGATCAGCGCGGTGCGCCGGCCGCGGCGGCCATTTGAGGGTAAACCAACGGCAAAGGAAGACCTTTCTCTCTCTCTCACTGTCCACTCTGCCTGTCAAAAACAAAAGAAAAAAAAAAAAGAAAATGGTAAATTCCAGGGGCCAGTGCTGTGGTGCAGCGGGTTAACGCCCTGGCTTGAAGCGCCAGCATCCATATGCTGCTCCACTTCCCATCCAGCTCTCTGCTATGGCCTGGGATAGTAGTAGAAGATGGCCCAAGTCCTTGGACCCCTGCACCCACGTGGGAGACCTCGAAGAGGCTCCTGGCTTCGGATCAGCACAGTTCCAGCCGTTGCAGCCAATTGAGGAGTGAACCAGCAGATGGAGGACCTCTCTCTCTCTCTCTCTGCCTCTCCTCTCTCTGTGTAACTCTTTCAAGTAAAAAATATAAATATTTAAAAAATTGGTAAATTCCAGAAAATGTCAGTTGGAGTAGCTCTACAAAAAAGTTGGTATTGGTATTACCCATTTTCCATAATTTTCACAAGTAGGATTTATTACAAAGATACAAAGGAAATTAGGTAATGACTTGCCTTCTTTTCAGTTGTTTTTTTTTTTTTTTTTTTTTTTTTGACAGGCAGAGTGGACAGTGAGAGAGAGAGACAGAGAGAAAGGTCTTCCTTTTCTGTTGGTTCACCCCTCAGTAGCCGCTGTGGCCGGCACACTGTGGCCAGCGCACCACGCTGATCCGAAGGCAGGAGCCAGGTGCTTCTCCTGGTCTCCCATGCGGGTGCAGGACCCAAGCGCTTGGGCAAGTGCTTGGGCCCTCCTCCTCTGTACTCCCAAGCCACAGCAGAGAGCTGGGCTGGAAGAGGAGCAACTGGGACAGAATCCGGCACCCCGACCAGGATTAGAATCCGGTGTGCCGGCGCCGCAGGCGGAGGATTAGCCTATTGAGCCACAGCGCCGGCCTTCAGTTGTTTTTTCAAAGCCCAAAATAATACAAATGTTTTCTTATATTCAAATCAGCTGTATTTCAGATACTTCTGAACCAGTGACCTTCAAAGACAGTAGAGAAGACCACATGCTAAAAAAATTTAACTTCTAAAAGATTTAACCTGGGGCATAGCGGGTTAACCCATCACCCACAATGCTGGCTTCATATATGTGTGCCAGCCTGTGTCCCAGCTGCAACACTTCTAGTACAGCACCCTGCTAACAACCTGGGAAAGCTGCAAAAGAAGGCCCAAGAGGCTGTGCTTCTGCAACCCACATGGGAGACCAGAAGAAGCTACTGGCTTCGCCAGGCCATGGCAGCCATTTGCAGAGTGAGCCTATGGGTGGAAGGTCTCACTCTTTCTCTCTGTCTCTCTTCTAATTTTTTTTTAAAGATATATTTATTTATTTGAAAAGCAGAGTTAAACAGAAAGAGAAGGAGAAGCACAAAGAGAGAGAGGTCTTCCATCCACTGGTGGCTACAAAGCTAGAGCTGTGCCCATCCAAAGCCTGGAGCCAGGAGCTTCCTCCAGGTCTCCCACACACGTCAGGGCCCAAGAACTTTGGGCCATCTTCTACTGCTTTCCCAGGCCATAGCAGAGAGCTGGATCAGAAGTGGAGCAGCCGGGGCTTGAACCGGCACCTATATGGGATACCGACACTGCAGGAGGCGACTTTACCCGCTAAACCACAGCGCCAGTTTCCTCTCTGTCAAATGAATAAATAAACCTTTATTGAAAAAAAAAAAAGTTTAACCTAGGGGCCAGAATTGGGGAACAGCAACAGATTAAACTGCCACCTGCAACGCCTGCATTCCAGATGAGCACTGGTTCAAATCCCATTTGTTCTACTTCAAATCCAGCTGCCTGTTAATACACCTGGAATAGCAGCAGCAGACAGTCCAAGTGCTCAGGCCCCAGTACCCATGTAGGTGACTCAGATGAAACTTCAAGCTCTTGGTTTCAACCTGGCCCAGCCCTAGCCATTGCAGCTATTTGAGGGAGTGAACCTGCATACAGAAGATCAATCTATCTCTATCTCCAACTCTCTTTCTCTCTCTCCTCCCCTCTAACTGCCTTTTCAAATAATTAAATCTTTTTGAAAAGGGTGGGGAGGGGCGACAGCACTGTGACATAGTAGGTTAAATCCCCACCTCCGCACCCTAAAATGAGCATGGGTATGTGTCCTGGCTGCTCCTCTTCTGCTCCAGCCTTCTGTTATGGCCTGGGAAAGAAGCAGAAGATGGCCCAGGTGCTTGGCACCCTAACCTACGTGGGAGATCTAGAAGAAGCTCCTGGCTCGTGGTTTTGGATCAGTGCGGCTCCAGCCATTGCGGCCATCTCGGAAGTGAACCAGTGGATGGAAGACCCCTCCTCTCCCTTTCTTTTCTTTTCTTTTCTTTTTTTTTTTCTTGTATTTTATTTCTGTACTCGACAGGCAGAGTGGACAGTGAGAGAGAGAGACAGACAAAGAGAAAGGTTTTCCTTTGCCATTGGTTCACCCTCCAAAGGCCGCCGCGGCCGGCGCACTGCACTGATCGGAAGGCAGGAGCCAGGTGCTTCTCCTGGTCTCCCATGGGGTGCGGGGCCCAAGCACTTGGGCCATCCTCCACTGCACTCCCTGGCCATAGCAGAGAGCTGGCCTGGAAGAGGGGCAACCAGGACAGAATACGGCGCCCCGACCGGGACTAGAACCCGGTGTGCCGGCGCCGCAAGGTGGAGGATTAGCCTATTGAGCCGCGGTGCCAGCCTCCCTTTCTCTCTCTCTCTCTCTCTCTCTGCCTCTGCCACTCTATAACTCTACCTTTCAAATAAAAATTAAAGCCGTCGTCTACAGTGTCAGCATCCTAAATGGGCTCCAGTTCTAGTCCTGGCCGCTCCACTTCCAATCCAGCTCCCTGCTAATAATGTGCCTGCGAAAGCAGAGGAAGATGGCCCAAGTGCTTAGGCCCCTTACTCACGCAGGAGACCTGGAAGAAGCTCCTGGCTCCTGACTTCAGAACAGCCCATATCTGGCCACTGTGGCCACTTGCAGAGTGAACCAACAGACATGACATTCATTCTCTCTCTCTCTCTCCCTATCTCTGCCTTTCAAATAAGTAAATATATCTTTAAAAGAAAGAAAGAAAGAAGTATGTAATATTGGTCTCAGTTCATATTAATTACATAGAACCACATTTTATTTTAATAATGGATCAGTTCAATCAGTCCAGAATTTTAAAATAAATCAGAAATGACAACTAGGGGCCAGTACCATGGCATAGCAGGTAAAACCGCTACCTGCAAAACCAGCATCCCATATGGATGCTGGTTCGAGTCCTGGCTGCCCTATTTCGGATCCACCTCCCTGCTAATGGCCTGGAAAAACAGCAAAGGATGGCCCAAGTGCTTGGGCCCCTGCACCCACTTAGGAGACCCAGAAAAATATCATGGCTGCTGACTTCAGATCAGCCCAGCTCTGAACACTGCAGCCATTTGGTAAATGAAGCAGCAGATGAAAGATCTTGTTTTCTCTCTTTCTCTCTCTAAATGACAACTAAATGATATGTGACCCCTAAAATAAATCTTGTTCTGAAAAGGAAAAAAACATGCTATAAAAAGGGACATTGTTTACTCATTTGATAAAACTGGAATACAGAGGGTACAAAGTATTGTATGAAGTTTGGCACTATGGTGCAGTGGGTTAAGCTGCCATCTCATGGGAGCACTGGCTCAAGTCCTATCTGTTCCACTTCCAACCCAGCTTCCTGTTAATGTACGGAAGGCTGTGGAAGGTGGTCCAATTATCTAAGCCCCTGTGAGGATCCAAATGGAGTTCCAGGATCCTGGCTACAGCATTGCCCAGCCCTGTGGCCACTGGAGAAGAAAACCAGCAGATGGAAGATCTCTTTCTCCTATGTGTCTCCCTTTCTTTTCTGTCAGTCTGCCTGTCAAATAAAAAAAATCTTTAAATAACGGGAGACAGCGCTGTGACACAGCGGGTAAAGCCACAGCCTGCAGAGCTGCCATCCCCAAAGAGCACTGGTTCAAGACTCAGCTGCTCCACTTCTGATCCTGCACTCTGTTATGGCCTGGGAAAGCAGTATAAGATGGTTCAAGTCCTTGGGCCCCTGCACCCACGTGGGAGACCAGGCAGAAGCTCCTGGCTCCTAATTGGTGCAGCTCCAACTGTTGCAGCCATTTGGGAAGTGAACCAGCAGATGAAAGACCTCCCTCTCTCTCTCTCCCTCTCTCTCCCTCCCTCCCTCTGCCTCTCTGTAACCCCACCTTTCAAATAAATAAATTTTTTTAAAAAAGCATATAACGTACTGTACAGATATTAAATTTACTGAAATTATTAACAATTTTGCAGTTATCTAGGAAAATGTCTTTATTCTCGGGAAATACATGCTGAAAGGGGCCAGCATTGTGGCATAGCAGATAAAGCTGCCACCTGCAGTGCCGGCATCCCATATGGGCACCGGTTCAAGATCCGGTTGCTCCGCTTCCAATCCAGCTATCTGCTATGACCTGGGAAAGCAGTGGAAGATGACCCAAGTCCTTGAGCCCCTGGACCCACATGGGAGACCCAGAAGAAGCTCCTGGCTCCTGGCTTCAGATCGGCGCAGCGCTGGCTGTTGCAGCCAATTGGGGAGTGAACCAACAGATGGAAGACCTCTTTCTCTCTCTGCTTCTCCTTCTCTCTGTGTGTAACTCTGACTTGCAAATAAATAAATCTTAAAAGAAAAAAAAAAAAAAAAAACCTGGGTCCAGCGCTGTGGCACAGCAGGTTAACACCCTCGCCTGAAGCGCCAGCGTCCCATATGGGCTCCAGTTCTAGTCCTGGCTGCTCTACTTCCAATCCAGCTCTCTGGTATGGCCTGGGAAAGCAGAAGATGGCTCAATTCCTTGGGCCCCTGCACCCGCGTGGGAGACTCGGAAGAAGCTCCTGGCTTCTGGCGCCTGGCTTCAGATCGGCACAGCTCCAGCAGTCATGGCCAATTGGGGAGTGAACCATCGGATGGAAGACCTCTCTCTTTCTGCCTCTACTCTATGTAACTCTTTCAAATAAATAAAATAAATCTTAAAAAAAAAATAACATGCTAAGGTATTTAAGGGTAATGGACCATGATGTACTACAAAATTAGCTTAACTAACTACAAAAAAAAATAGTCACAAAAGTATTTATGGATGTCAGCATAGAAACAGCAAATTTTCAATTAATAATCTAGGTAGATGTCATACAGGTGTCTTGGGTACAATTCTTCTAAGTTTTCTGGAAGAGTACAAATAACAAGTTCAAACGGAAATCATTTTGTCTTCAGAATGTAAGAAAAACAAATGGTTGGAAATATTTCTATAATAATTCTGGATAATTATTTTGGAACAAAATGCCAACATTTATGTACCAGGAACTGTTCTGGGAGGTATACATATATATGTATATAAAATATCATTCAATACTCAGTAATCACTACCATGATCCTCACTTTACTCATATAAAAGGAAGAAAGTGAGCTATTTTAATTCATGAAGAATTATGACAGAATGCACATTCTTAATATGTAACACACTGTAGATAGAAGAATTACAAATGAAGTGCACAAAATTTGCTTCTTGGTTCAATCAGGTTACCACTTATAATCATATTTTTCTACTTCAACACTGTAAAAACTTTCTCTTTTCTTTCCATTGTTGACAATGCTGTTTATAATAAATTCCCTAGGAGGAGGGGACAATAACTTTGTATAGTTCAAATGAATAAATGCTTTGCTTATATACATGAAAAGATATTATCTAATGATTTCACTTGAAGGTTTATTAATATTTTACTTTCAGTCAAAATTCTATAATTAAATATCTAAATAAATATTTTTTCTAAAAAAAAAATCACTGGATAAGAATTCTCTTAATTTTTTAATACTACTAAAGCAATTGTTGAATTTTTAAACAAGCTATCAAAATTTTTCCAACTCTTGGAAATCCAAATAAGAAACCTTAATGAAGAATCTACACCATGCCCAAAACTCAGAAGTTTCATTCAACAGCTACTTCTGAAGAGCTCAACTTCTAACTAAAAGTAACCAATGACAGAATCAGAAAAGCTCCCAAAAGCAAAAGAAAATTCCATATTACCTCTTCTTTAATTTCCTCTTTTTCTTGGATTAGTGGTTTTGGCTCAGGCTTAACTGGTTCCAAAGCTGGAAGGTAGTTCTTAGTGTAGAGACTTTCAAATAGTTTGTCCACAAAGCCTGAAGTTTCTAGGGAGAAGAAATAACATTTAAGTGTTACACAAAAAACAAAAGCTTAAACAGTTAGAAAAACTTAGGAAAACAAAACATCTCAAACCCTGTTAATGGGACTTAAAATAAGCCTGATCTTATGGGAGAGAAATCTAACTTATTGGTTTTTAAATCCTTCTGACATATTCACACATATGCAAAATGATGCAAGTATTTGATTATATATGTGTGTGTGTGTATATATATATGATTATATATAAGATCATTTGTTGGAGTATATAATGAAAAATTGGAAACAATCCCAATTTCCAAAAGTGAGACAAATAAATGATGGACAACCATAAAATGGAATATACAGCACCCACAGAAAAGTATTAATACCACCATATGTTCAAGATTGAAGGCTAAATATTTATATGTGTTTGCTTACATCTGCATATAAATAAACTGAAAGGACATAAAATCTGGCAAAATTGGATGGTTAGGCGGGAAAGGGGAAGATGTAAAATAGGGCAAAATCTTTTCATGATACATCTTCATTTTATTGGATTAAATGAACTGTCTACTCAAAAAAACTAAAAATGTTTGTAAAACAAATTGAAAACAAATATTGGCATGGAAATAATAAGAAAGTCATCTTTTTGTGTCTTAAAAAACTGCTCTAACTTGAAATTTTTTCAGACTAACAGAGCAGGAAACCTAGAAGAATTCACTAAAAGTAAAACTGTAAAAATATTTGTTATTTTATTTAAACCAAATTTTAATTGGCTCTACTCTATAGAACACTAAAGAACATATTAAAAGCACAACACATGGGCTGGCATTGTAAACACAGCAAGTTAAGCCACCACCTGCAATCCCATGGGACGTAGGTTTGGTTCTTGGTTATTCCATTTCCAGTACAACATCCTACTAATAGCCTGGAAAAGCAGCAAAAGATGGACCAACAGCATGGACCCCCATCATATGTCAGACCAGAAGCTCCTGGCTTCGCCAAGCCATTGCAGCCATTTGCCAGTGAACCAGCAGATGGAAGATGTCTGTCTGTCTCTCTCTCTCTCTCTCTCTCTGCCTCTCCCTCTCTATAACTCTGGCTTTCAAATAAACACATCTTAAAAAAAAAAAAAAAATTAACCTAGGGGCTGGTGTTGTGGCTCAGCAGTGGGTTAAGGTGCCACCTGTGGTGCCAGCATCCGATATATGAGGGCCAATTCAAGTCCTGGTTGCTCTACTTCTGAATGTGCCTGAATACACGGTGGGGGATGGCTCAAGTGCTTGGGCTCCTGCACCCATACAGGAGACCTGGAAAAAGCTTCTGGCTCCTGGATTCAGCCTGGTCCAGCCCTAACAGTTGGAGCCATTTGGGGAGAGAACTAGCAAATGGAAGATCTCTCCCTCTCTCTAACTCTGCCTTTCAAATAAAACAAATTAAAAAAAAAAAAAAAAAGCACAATACAGACTCTGTTTATACTGCAGTTATTATACATTTTACATAAATAGCTATTTCTAAAGTGACAAATTAATTTCTTCAAAAAACTGTCTCCTTGGGGCTAGCGCTGTGTCGCAGTGGATTAAAGCCCTGGCCTGAAGCGCTGGCATCCCATGTGGGCACCGGTTCTGGTTCCAGCTGCTCCTCTTCCAATCCGACTCTCTGCTGTGGCCTGGGAAAGCAGTGGAGAATGGCCCAGGTCTTTGGGCCCCTGAACTCATATGGGAGGCCGGGAAGAAGCTCCTGGCTCCCGGCTTCGGCCATTGCAGCCATCTGGAGAATGAACCAGATGATGGAGGACCTCTCTCTCTGTCTCTGCCTTTCTCTGTAACTCTTTCAAATAAATAAAATAAATCTTTAAAAAAAAAAATAAAACTGTCTCCTTATAAACTCCTTTATACACTATTAATTTGTGTAGTGAGCATTTTTCCATGAATATCAAACTGTTAGCTCTTGCAAATTGCCACCTGTCATCTTAATAAATAAACTGTTCCAAAGCCTTTATAATCAGAAGACTTTCATCTTTACTTTTCTATATTCTATATTTTTTAAAAATTTATATCATGCATTATTTTTGTAATTTGAAAGCCATACAGTCCAATAAAAAAGCAAACACCTGGGGCAGGCTTTTGGCACAGTGGTTAAGACTGCTCAACATGCTTACAGCCCTTATCAGTGTCTGGGTTCAAATCCCAGTTCCACTTCCAATTCCAGCTTCCTGCTAATCTGTACCCTGGTCGCAGATGATGGCCCAAGTACTTGAGTCACTATCACCTTTGTGGGAGATTCAGGTTCAGTTCCTGGCTCCTGTCTTCAGACTGGCCCCAGGCCCTGCTACTATGGCTGGCTATATGGGGAGTGAACCAGCAGATACAAGATTTCTGTTTATCTATTTCTCTGTGTCTTTCAAATGAACTCATAAATATCTCATTTTAAATAGGGTAAATATCTAACATCAGACAATATTCAAGATATACTATGAAGGCTTTAAAAAGCACTTGGGGTGGGCATTCATGTATGATTCATCTTTAAATTAAATAATATAAATTAATATATTATTTACAGAAGAAAACATCTACTTACAAGGGGAAAGAATTCTGTAGTAGCAGTTTTTTGGGTTTTTGTTTTGACAAAAAAAGTCTTAAGATACATGAAAAACTACATAATCCTGTGTTTTAGATTAGGATGGTCCAATTGCTTGGGCCCCTGCACCCACATGGAAGAACCAAATGAAACTCCTGGCTCCCGGCTTCAGGCTGGCTCAGTCCTAGCTGTTGCAGTCATCTGGGGAGTGAACCAATGGGTAGAAGATCCCTCTCTCTCTTATTTATTTATTTAAAGATTTATTTATTTATTTGAGAGGGAGAGTTATAGACAGAGAAGGAAAGACAGAGAGAGAAAGTAAGAAATCTTCCATCCGCTGGTTCACTCCTCAAATGGCCACAACAACTGAGCTGGGCCAGGCCAAAACCAGGAGCCAGCAGCTTCTTCCAGGTCTTCCACATGAGTACAGGGGCCCTAGGGCTTGGTCCATCATCCACTCCCTTCCTAGGTGCATTAGCAAGGGCTGGATCAGAAGTGGACCAGCCGGGACTCTATGGCTCCCATTTGGGATGCTGGCACTGCAGGCCTTGGCTTTAATCCGCTGAAGCCCCGCGCCAGCACTTGCTGGTTCTCACTCTCACTCTCTCTCCTTCTCTGTAACTCTACCTTTCAAAGAAATAAATCTCTTGCATTCAAAGATCTATTTATTTAGGGGCCAGTGCTGAGGCGTAACGGGTAAAGCTACCACCTGCAGTGCTGGCATCCCATATGGGCACCAGTTCAAGTCCCAGCTGTTCCACTTCCAATCCAGTTCTCTGCTATGGGTTGGGAAAGCAGTGGAAGATGGCCCAAGTCACTGAGCCCCTGCACCCACATGAGAGACCCAGAAGAAGCTCCTGGCTCCTAGCTTCAGATCAGCCCAACTCCGGCCACTGCAGCCATTTGGGGTATCAATCAGCGGACAGAAGACTTCTCTCTCTTTCTCTCTCTGCCTCTCTGTAACTCTGCCTTTCAAATAAGTAAATAAACCTTTTAAAAAATACATTCAGGCCGGCGCCGCGGCTCACTAGGCTAATCCTCCGCCTAGCGCGCCGGCACACCGGGTTCTAGTCCCAGTCGGGGCACCGGATTCTGTCCAGGTTGCCCCTCTTCCAGGTCAGCTCTCTGCTGTGGCCAGGGAGTGCAGTGGAGGATGGCTCAGGTGCTTGGGCCCTGAACCCCATGGGAGACCAGGAAAAGCACCTGGCTCCTGGCTCCTGCCATCGGATCAGTGCGGTGCGCCGGCCGCGCCGGCCATTGGAGGGTGAACCAACGGCAAAGGAAGACCTTTCTCTCTGTCTCTCTCTCTCACTGTCCACTCTGCCTGTCAAAAAATAAAATAAAATAAAATAAAATAAAATAAAAATACATTCATATTTGAAAGTCAAAGTTACAGGGAGAATGGAGAAATAGACAGATCTTCCATCTGCTGGTTCACTCTCTAGATGGCCGCAATGACCAGGGCTGGGCCAGGCCAAAACCAGGAGCATCTTCCAGGTCTCACAGGAGGGTACAGGGGCCCAAGCACTTAGGCCATCCTCTGCTGCTCCCCGGGTACATTAGCAGGGAGCTGGATTGCAAGTGGAGCAGTCAGGACTGGAACTGGCACCCATATGGATGCTGGCACTGCAGATGATGGCTTAACCCTCTGAACCACAGTACCAGCCCCGAAATAAGTAAACATTTTATAAGTAGCCATATTCCTGGGAAAGCAGTGGAAGATGGCCCAAGCCCTTGGGTCTCTGCACCCGCATGGGGGACCCGGAGGACACTCCTGGCTCCTGGCTTCAGATCAGCTCAGCTCTGGCCGTTGTGGTCATATGGGGAATGAACCAACAGAATGGAAGACCTCTCTCTCTCTTTCTCTCTCTCTCTCTCTCTCTCTCTCTGTAACTCTTTCAAATAAATAAAATAAATCTTTTTTTAAAAAAAGTAGCCATATTTTCTTTCCTTCTTCAGTAGACATTTCACTTAAAATATATCTTCTCAAAACCAGCTTGATCAACTGGCGTGTATGTGTGTGTGTATGTGTGTGTTATGCACATTCTTGTTCAACCTCTCAACAATATGGAACATCTTCTATATGCCAAGCACTATAGGTTCCAAGTCTCTACTCTCAAAGCAAAGATAAAAACAAGGGGGGGGGGGGTAAACGCAGATGAACATATGACACAGCATGACAAGTAATATGAATAAAAATAAAGCAGGGCTGAAAGCAGGAGACTAGGAGCTCGGAGCGTACCACACAGCATATGAGGTGCTCAGGTGAAACTGCTCTGAGATGACGTTTGAAAAGAGAAAAAGAAGTGAAGAAAAGCCCATCTTTCATGCAAGTAAAAAAATGCAATCAAAGATCTTGAGTTGGGAATAGTTTGGTATATTCAAAAATGCTAGGTGATCAATGTAGCTAGAGTGAAACAAATGAGGAGGAGTGGCAGGAAATAAGGTAAGAAAGGAAGTTAAGAAACCCTCAAAGCAGCTGTGAAGACCATTGGTAAGAAGATGGGATATTAAAGATAAAAAGAAAAGATATTCACGCCCAATTCTTAAGAGAAAAAGTGTCATTCTCTTATCAGCAAGAATAGGCAGCTTCATTATCCTTAAACTTACCACTCCACCATCAACATCTGCCAAAAGCTGCAAACTACCCAATCATCTAAACAGCATTAGAACTCCCACTGTTTCAGCATAGGAAAGAACCAAAGAACAAAAGGGAAAAAGCCAGTTCTGCCAGAGCACTTGATGAGTAACTAAGCATGAATGGGTATATTCAAGTATTCAAAGAAATCTGACCACTTTCTTTCCTACCAATCTTAGAGGAAGTTTCAAATTCACGAAGTCTTACATTCAAAATCTTTATTGAAATACTTGGTTGAAAGCCTGTAATAATTACCTTTTTGTAAAAAGACATCAAGTTGATCAGCACAAAAGGCTTTCAATTCTTTCTCAGGTTTGTCCTTCTTGACCAGTGCTACAACATAGTTGGCTAAGGCTGATGGGTCAGCATCACATCTAGTTAGACAAAGAGAAACAAAAATTTAAGAACATAATGTTTTCAAACAGAGGTGTCATTAATAAAGTCACCCTTATTTTAGAAAACCAAAAGATCAAAACATCCTTATGTTATCTGGTCCACCAGAAAGTCAACAGCAAAATGCCTTGAGCATCCCAAAAAACTTTTGCTATGACCTTTACTCTTGCCTGGTCCATTCTGGCTTGGACTGGACCACTTCCATCTCTTGGGAGCCATTCCCTTAATAGTGCTGTCTTCAGAATGATCCTGGTAAAATCATGTTTTGAGATCTGTTAAAAATTTCTTCAAAGAAATGCTTCAGGATCTTGATCCCAACTGCTGGAAATGTCCATTAAAAGCTCTGTTCTTCTCTGCAGCTGACCTGGACACAACAGTTTTGGCATCCATCTGGCAAAAGTTTGCTCTATTTTAATTTTTCAATCAGAAATACAGAAGCTGGGCATTTGGTGTAGCAGTGAAGATGCTGCTGAGGATGCCCACATCCCATATCAGCATGCCTGGATCCAAGTCCCAGCTCCACTCCCAACCCCAGCCTCCCACTAATGCAGACCCCAGGAAGCAGTGCTGATGACTCAAGTAGCTGGGTCTCTGCTACCCAAATGGGAGACCTAGATTGAGTTTCCAATTTCTGGCTTCAGCCTGGCCCCTTCCCAGCTCTTATGGGTATTTGCTGAGTGAGCAAGCAGATAGAAGATCTGCCTGTCTGTTCCTGTGTGTATGTGTGTGTCCTTCTGCCTTTCAAATAAAATGAAAATAAGAAAAAAAAAAAAAAAAGACCCTAGAAGAACCTAGAATGTTTAAATTGAACCAACTGAGATATCTTTGGTGTTGACTATTGTTTCTGCCCTTGACCATCAGTCCTCTTTACATAAGGCATGAACAAGATTAATTTATTCCTCTTGCAAATGATCTGGTACTACGGGCTTGTCCCTTTTTAAAATGAGCAGTCCATTTGCAAACTGCTAATTTCTTTGGGGTGCTGTCCGCATAAATTTTTCCTAATGCATCAATGATTTCATCATTCTTCTACTCAAGTCTCTCTACATGCTGAGTGGTTTACTGCTTCAGTTTTACCAGAATCCAGGTTGCTCAGATAGGTGCTCTTTTCAAACTAATGTATTAGCATTTATTATAAATCCCTCAAACTAGATCCTGTCCAGACATGTTATCACAATTATCACAAATTAGTATGAATTTATCTTGGTGCAAAACACAATTTTGAAATCTGAACAGTTTTTTGTTTTGTTAATTTATTTGGAAGTTGAGTGAGAGGGAGGGAGACACAACAAACAGAGATGGAAAGAGATATTTCATCTATTGCTTCATGCCCCAAATGCCTATTACAGCCAGGGCTGAGCTATGCCAAAGCCAGGAGCCCACAATTCAATCCAGGTCTCCTACGTGAATGGTAGAGACTCAAATATTCAGTCACCACCTGTTTCTTCCAGGATGTGCATTAATAGGAAGCTAAAATTGGAAGCAGGGCCAGGACTTGAGCTCAGGCATCCTGGTAAGAGATGCAGGTGTTTCAAATCAGAGTCTCAAATGCTGCACAAAATACCTGCCTCACAATTTGTTAAGAATGCACGTTTTTCGGCCGGCACCGCGGCTCACTAGGCTAATCCTCCGCCTAGCGGCGCCGGCACACCGGGTTCTAGTCCCGGTCGGGGCGCCGGATTCTGTCCCGGTTGCCCCTCTTCCAGGCCAGCCCTCTGCTGTGGCCAGGGAGTGCAGTGGAGGATGGCCCAGGTGCTTGGGCCCTGCACCCCATGGGAGACCAGGAAAAGCACCTGGCTCCTGGCTCCTGCCACCGGATCAGCGCGGTGCGCCGGCCGCAGCGCGCTGGCCGCGGCGGCCATTGGAGGGTGAACCAACGGCAAAGGAAGACCTTTCTCTCTGTCTCTCTCTCACTGTCCACTCTGCCTGTCCAAAAAAAAAAAAAAGATAAAAAGAAAAATAAAAAAAAAAAAAAGAATGCACGTTTTTCACAAAAAGTTTAAAGACTGTCTCATATATAATATTCAGATTTCCCCAGGAATGCGTACTTAAGTAACACATATCTTTTGTGGCTTCAGAGAGTTGCTGTAGAGGTAAAATTAGAAAATCATGATGAGTTTAAATAAAACTCTGATGGAAGGGGAATGAACCAGCAGATGAAAGAAAGATACCTCTCTCTCCCCTCTGTCACTCTGCCTTCAAATGAGGGGGGAAAATGATGCAAGCAAAGTTTGCATCCCTACAAAGCACCATTCAAATCTAATTAATCTGGTCCATAATGCCTGAGCCTCCACTGTCAATCAGAAAGTTAAAGAATACCAATTAGGGGTCCCATAGTAGAGGATCAGGTTAGATCACCCCATGAGATGCCAGCATTCAAAATATGTACACCAGTTCAAGGCCCTGCTGCTCTACTTCCTAGCAGCTCCCTGCCAGTGTGCCCACAAAAACAGGAAAAAATGGCCCGAGACTCGACCCCTGCCACCTATGTGGGAGACTGGGAGGAAGCTGCCGACCCCTGGCTTTGGCCTGGCCTGCCCTGGTCACTGAGGTCATCTGAAAAGTGAACCAGCAGATGGAAGATCGATCAATCTCTAACAATCTCGATCTCAATCTTTCTCTTTAACCTGCCTTTCAAATACATTAAAAAAATAAAAATAAAAAGAGTATCAGGGCTAGTGTTGTGGCATACTGGGTTAAGCTACCACCTGTGACCCCAGCATCCCATATGGGTGCCAGTTCAAGTCCTGGCTGCTCTACTCTGCACCCATGTTGGGGACCTGGAAGAAGCTTCTGGCTTTGGCCTGGCCCAGCCCTGGCCACTGCAGCCATTTCGGATGTGAACCAGCGGATGGCAGATCTCTCTCTCCCTTTCCCTGTAATAACTCTTTCTAATAAGTAAATAAACCTTTCTTAAAGAATAAAAGAGTATCAATTATATTTCCAGTAATTTTATGAGACTAGCAAATAAAAGACAAGCCGAACACTAGCACCTATACTTCCTTGTAGTTTCTATTTTTAAAGTTCATGATTTAATAAAACAACATTTTTTTTCCCACTGTCAATATCAACAACATCAAGGGACAGGCTGGTTCTTTAAATATCTAAGCAACAAATTAGAAGAAACAAAGAAATGTTTAATGACTATCAATTTTACACAACTTAAAGCTAATGAAAAAAATTATGGGCAGAGATCAAGTGTGATGGAAATGAGTATATCAAAGATGATGAGTTACATGTTAGTAAAAATAGGCAATTTAAAAAGAAAGTAAAGGGGCTGGCACTGAAGCATGGTGGGTAAAGCCATCACCTGCAGTACAGGCATCCCATATGAGCACCAGTTCAAGTCCCTGCTGCTCTACTTCCGATCCAGTTCTCTGCTATGGCCTGAGAAAGGTAGATGGATGGCCCAAGCCTTTGGGTCCCTGCACTCGCCTGGTAGACCTGGAAAAAGCTCCTGGCTCTTGGATTCAGACTGGCTCAGCTCCAGCCATTGCAGCCATCTGGGGAGTGAACCAGTGGACAGAAGACCTCTCTCTTTTTCTCTCTGCACCTCTGCCTTTCAAATAAAATAAATAAATCTTTAAAAAAAAAAAAAAAAAGGAAGGAAGGGAGGAAAGAAGGAAACAAACAAACTAAAATATTTCTTCAAAGTATGCTACAGGGGCTGGCACCGTGTCGCAGCAGGGTAAAGCCCTGGTCTGCAGTGCCAGCATCCCATATGGACAATGGTTTGAGTCTTGGCTGTTCTACTTCCCATCCAGCTCCCTGCTAATGCACCTGGGAAAGCAGCAAAGGATGGTCCAAGTCCTTGGGCCCCTGCATCCACATGGGAGACCCAGAAGAAGCTCCTGTCTTCTGGCTTCAGATGGGCTCACCTCTAGCCATTGCAGCGATTTAGGTGTGAACCAGCAGATGGAAGACCTCTCTCTTCTCTCTCTCCACCTCTCTCTGTAGTTCTTTCAAAAGTCAGAGTTACACACAGAGAGAAGGAGAGGCAGAGAGAGAGAGGTCTTCCATCAGCTGGTTCACTCCCCAGATGGCCGCAAAGCCAAGAGCCAGGAGCCAGGAATTTCCTCCAGGCCTCCCACGAAGGTGCAGGGGCCCAAGGATCTGGGCCATCTTCTACTGCTTTCCCAGGCCACAGCAGAGCTGGATCCAAAGTGGAGCAGTTGGGACTCAAACCGGTACTCATATGGGATGCCGTCACTGCAGGCAGTGGCTTTATCTGCTATGTCACAACACTGGCCCCCAAATAAATAAATCTTAAAAAAATAAAAAAGCATACTACATTTTGGAATTAATAACAGATCACTTTAATATACCCACGGAAAAATTCCCTAACAGATATATATACTATCTACTTGAATTTGTGGAAAGTAAATATTACATATTCAAACTATCCCTGCCATATACACATATATAAAGGTAACTATGTAAGGAAATGGACATGTTAATTATTTTATTTTATTTTTTATTTTTAATAATTAATGTTGAATATTTAATTTTTATTTTTAATAATTTTAAATATTTTATTTTATAGTAATTTCACAATGTGTATAGATACAAAATCAAAACATTCATATATACCTTAAATATACATGCTTCTTAATTTTAAATAAACTCTAAATTAGGAACAAAAAAGCAAATCTACAGCAATTCCATCTTCAAAAATACTACAAGGGCCTGGTGCTGTGGCGCAGCAGGTAAAGCCGCCACCTGCAGTGCCAGTATCCCATATGGGTGCTGGTTCATGTCCTGGCTGCTTCACTTCCAATCCAGCTCTCTACTATGGTCTGGGGAAGCAATAGAAGATCCAAGTCACTGGGCCCCTGCATCTACATCAGAGCTGGAAGAAACACCTGGCTTCGGATCAGCGCAGCTCTAGCTGTTGCTGCCATCCAGGGAGTGAACCAGAGGATGGAAGACCTCTCTATGCCTCTGCATCTCTGTCTTTCAAATAAATAAATAAATCTTAAAA